AAATAGTTTTAAAGGCTGACAAAGTCATATTCTTGTATCATGTGATAAAATTTTAAAGCATCAAAACATAGATTTGTTTTAAGAATAATTGTGAAAAAGGGACACACCCATTATCCAACACAGCTATTAACGGCACCATTGATAATCATATAAGTTTTTTTTTTTTAATCTAGAGGACTCTGAACTTGACAGATACATTTCGTACACCCACACATTCCTCACAATTGCACTTTACATGTCACAAGAATTTCTGAATGATTAAAAATGTTCCTTTGCACTAACACAAGGGCAGCTATTATTACTTACCATTGTTATTATTGAGATTCTTAAACTCAGCCAAATAACCTGGGATGGAGCCCCACAAGGATGGTAGAGGCTCCCAATCTTTCTTTCTCCACCTAGTGGTGTGGAAAAACCATGTGCCTTAAAAGGATACCACTCAGGGGAGGGGATTCGGGAAGTCTCTTCCAAAATGCTGGAAATTGGGTTTTGCTGACTACTATCACTATGAAGACAATTGCATCTAATTAAGTCCACTCCACATTCTTTTGGGCTCGGTGTTCTGCACCTGAAGGCTAAATTGCACTAGTTCAGCTTTATCTTTTTGTCACATTTTTAATTGCAAATCTATTTCTTCTTCCTTCCATTTACTTCTCTTCTCTTAAGTAAGAAATGAGAGAAATGAGCCTGGCATTTTTATTTGTTTGCTTTTTTTCTGTGGTCATTAGAAGCTTTCATCATATGGCATCCTGTACACTGTTGCCTTCCTTGTTAAACACCTGTGAAGAGCTACTGAAGCTACTCAAATGTATTTGTTTTGAAAGAAAGAGAGAGGGAAGCTTTGGATAATAAGGGGGAAGCAATTGGACATGAGAATTTCTAGGAATAAGATTTATGCCAAATAAAACCAAAATATTCTTGCTGTTGGAGAAAATACATTTTGCCCCAAAATTAAAAATAAGAATTATCTCGCATCCTCTAACTCCATCAGGAACAGCTTTTGGGTCCCTGATTCTAGGTACTGTCAAATTAGTTTTTCCTATCCTGGTGAAAACTCATGATCAAATTGGGGACAGAGACTCTCTCATAACTTCATAAGCTGTTCCTCTTGACCATCTCTATGGGGCTGGTAATGGCCATATAGGCTACTGAGAACATGTGCCCTTTGGCCCTGAAAGCATTGACCAAAATATTAGTAATAAATTTCCAACTATTCATGACCCAGTGGCTGTGATAAACACGGAATCGACTATCCACTCTAGGGCTTTTTTACTCTTTTGGTATTTTATCTAAAATGGGGAGAATTTGCTATTCCTCTTTGCTGGAACAACTTGACCAGAGGAATGCAGAAAGAGATTCTTTAATCTCAGCCTTAGCAGCAAAGCTCCTTGAGAGCCAGACCACACCAGATTTTGAAAACTAACTTCCCAACCCATGAACAACATCCCAAAGAGGTATGAACTTTAGAGGGAAAAGGCCCTGTCACCCTGGTGACACACAACCCTCCCTTTCCTTCTGTTGAACTGTACACAACCATAGTCAACAGCAGAAGAGCTGTGTATCTAGCTATCTCTGTCAGAGCTATATATGTTTTGACAACTGCTTCTTCACCCTTCCCAATGAGAACAAGAAAGAAAATCTAAACACCCTTGATTAAACTTGCAGATGACTATATCAGGCACTTGACATTAAACTACTCAAAAACAAGCTTGGCCAGAGCCATAACACTAGCACTTTCATTGGCATCACTTTGGTGGAAGGACAAATTAGCATTGTTTTGGGAAGGGAAAAATTTTAGAATAACTACCTTTGCTGAATCCCTTTCACTTAAACTCTTGAAAATCCTTATTTGGTTTCCACTCAGAAAACCTACATTATTCTACCAGTTACTTGGACTAATATGATCCTTTTTTCCTAACCTTATATCTTCTTCACACCCACCCTTGACAGGCTGAACAAGTCTGTCTAGTGGACCTGATCTATTCCCCTCTCCATGTGTAAGGGTGGAACGTCACATGAAAGTGTTCGAGTTGTTTGTAATGAGCAGCTGCTGATCTACTTGCTTCAAAGTGTTGGGAATAAGCTCCCATCACATGTAGCTGTTGTCACCAAAGTCACTCAGATACATAGGAGCTGGAGCATGTCTGTTCTGTAAGAAGTCATTTCATATCAGGCACCCAGTCACCTTGAATCATTTCTACTTGGTTTTCTTCTTCCCAGACAAGAGGATTGGCTGGAACATATGTTTTTTGTCTGAAGTTTGGATGCAGTAGGCAACTACCAGAGACATGTCTAGCATCCAGTCAAAGTAGGCACAGCAGAGTTGCATGATGACCCTGAGTCCACACTCAGTTGGGTTCTGATGATCTGCTTTCACAAGAGCAGTTACAGCTTGTCCATTTCAAGCAGCACATCACCCAACACTTTTCAATTTCCCTGACTTCGACATTTCCTTTTCTCCAAAGCAACAAATGTACGATTAGCAGAAAACTCAAATGCCATGTTTAAGTCTCATACAATGCTTGACACCAACCCAATCCCAGGTGCTGAGTGTGGTGACAGATCTGAAATTCATATATCCGACCTGTAATTCTGACTTTGTGCCTGCTCCTGATTGCCTCTGGAAGTTGGAATAAATAGACTGTTTTTGGCACATCATTTATGCTCTCAGAGTCTCATTCTTGGCAGCTCACTAGGAAATGCAGATGTCTGTTTACAGCTGGCAAGTAGAGTATTAATTTTGCTCACACCAGCTCTATCTCTTATGACAGTGCAGAGCCTTTGTATGCCAAGGAAGCATACTTTGTGTATATGTGAAAATGTATACACAGGTATATATGTACCCACTATGGGTATTGTATTTATGTGGCCATGTTGGCTCAGAGCAGATACGTATACTGGAGCAAGTGATCAGTTAAACTTTAAGGGAACTGAACTCTAGTGGAGCCTATAGTTATTAGTTTTTAGAGGTGCACCTGAAAAGGGCCACTTAGGGAGGCAGAACATGTCTGTGAGAAAGTCACTGTTGGTGCTCCTTGTCAACTACAATGTAAGCCAGTCCCTACAGAGATTCTTTTGTGCCCTTCAATGTCCTTCATTTGAACTGCAGGTTCCCTTGTTGGCTGAGTTCTTCTCCTCTTAAGAGACAATATTTAGAGGCTGGATTTGATCCTATTTGTACACTAGGCCTGTTTCCAATATAGGAATTTGGGGACATTCATCCCCAAAGTGCTAGAGAAACGGCCTAGGAAACAGTGTAACTTACACTTCCCATCTCTGTTTGCCATGTTGTGTTAATCAAGTGCTTGGAAATTAAGTCAGTAGCTCAAGTGCCCTCAGCTTAGAAGAGCTTTCTGAAACAAATACCAGAGTTGTCAACACACGCGCCATGTAATTGGCCTCCATCAGCCCTTTGCTGGATAATTTTCAAACATTCAAATCAAAACTGCAGCAGAAGGGCGATGGTTAGCTATAGTTCTCACACCTCGGCTGATGGACTGTTGTCTCTACACAAAAGGGACAGATGCATGGTTTTCGTCAGGTTCATTTTGCTAATGAAAGCCAGCCAATAAGAAGTTCCTCCAAGCTGCTGAGGTGCACTTTTCTTGAAAGGCCGAGAGCAGCATGAGCTTGGTACCTTAATCTTCCAGCTGTTAAAGGAGAACTGCAGCATAATCAAGGCTTCTCCGGGGTTCATCTGCTTCCCGAGAAGGTGGTTCAAGAAACAGTCTCTCTGGGAATCATGAGTGACTGATCTTTAGATTGCTACTTTGGTCCATCTGTTCGAAATGTTTAATTTGGGTGGATGGGTTTCCACATTCCCAAGGATCCATGGCATAGGAAATTGCTCTTCTGTGTAGTTAGCCTGTGAGATCACTGGCTTTCACATAAGAAGTTGCTAGGCAATTTTGAAGACAGCAATGTCTATTGATGGTGGTGGAGAAATGGAGATAGTGGCATGGACACATACGATTAGAGGTTAATATGGTGATGAATTGATAGTGAGTGGTGGGAAGAAAAACAGAAAACAGTCAGATAATTACATTGATGTTATGATAAATAGAGCAAATGGATTGTGAGAGAGAAAGACAGGTGGGTAGAACTAGATGGAGAGATAAATCAATTGAATAACTGTATAATGGTATGATTGCTTTGATAGCTTGATAAAATAATTAGCCAGCTATTGATCACTTTTTTATGAGTTGTGACAGCACTTAAGGGAAGTAGTAGCATTAATATACTTCCCTCATTTGGTTACTTGACTTCTCAATTTTTAGTTTTAGATTGCATGCCTAGTCTCCAGCCTGTAATTCCTACAGCTAGTGGAAGAAATGAATAGAGTGGAAAGGCCAGAGAAGACGGTGGAATTTTCCATGTGGATGTACCTATATGCAAATCTATGGATATAGTGACATAGCTTCTTACAAAGAAAAGGAGTAAAGCCTAATAGAATAGGTGATAATATGCAATGGGATGGGGACATGTACCTTTTAACCAGGAAAATGATTGAAAGCTTAAAAGACAAAGACAATAGGACATGTAGATGCAACTCTTACTGTGTACTACATTGTGAGTCAAGTTGTACCTTCAGGGTGTTTGTCATGGGACATAGTCTTTTTGCCCAATTTTGTGGAGTGCCCGTGTGTGTGTGTGTGTGTGTGTGTGTGTGTGTGTGTGTGTGTGTGTGTGTTAATGGTTATGGAAAGAGAAGTAGAGAAAAGGAAGGCCTAGGTAGCAGGAACAGATTCCATTTGGGGGCACACCAATGAATGATTATCCTACCCTGGGTAAAACCCTGCCCACCCCAAACCCCAACCCCACTCATTCAAACTAAAAAAAGAAAAATTGAAACTCCCAGAAAAGAAACCAAGATTAAAAAAAAAAATTAAGAAGAACAAAAATAAACAAAAAGAAGCCCAAACTGGTTTGCCCTCCGCAGTGTAGATTAAAGTCTGTGATGTGGAGAAGCAGGCGTTGATGAGAGGACCTATGGTTTCTTATCAAAACTTGATGAAGAAGTGGGCAAAGAAGGTCCCTGAGAGCCAGAGACAAGCCAGTGCTCTAGAGGCCGAATTGACACCATCAATGACTGCTCCAGGCCCTGTGTAGGGGAAAGAGAGACAGACTCATTAGCATATAGCCTATAGAGCCCCATATTTACCCCTGAAAAACAAGTGCAAGTCATGCTTCTCTGTGGCAATATCCCAAGTCCCACTCCTCCCCACTGACCCATCTAGGTTGAGAGAGCCAGAAAATGCCAAGTGGGAAGGTCGAACTCTAAAAAAAGTAGGGGAAGGGTTATGGGTCGCTTTGACTACCTTCTCTGACAGTTGGAGAATCAAAAATATGACAGAGTAAGTTGATGACAGTCAATTAAGTACATAGGCCCAAGATAAGGGCAACAAACAGGGATTTATAGTAACCTAAGGCATGATGACCCTTTCACTGTCTGTAACCATCATTATTCCATGGAAATGGGCTCCAATCAGACAAGGGTGACCAAGAAGTAGACAGGTATGGGTGTGAAGGAGAGGGTCTCCAGGAGTGAGAAGCAAGCATTGGGGAGAGAAGAATGGAGATATTTTGTGAGTAATAAAAGTCTAGATGCAGACTTCATCCTCTGTACGTATAATTCAGGTGTTGGAAGGCCAAGCTGCCATGAAATGGGGACTAAAGACTGTGTGTGGGTATATCTCATCCACCAGTGATGGCTCTAATATCTACAAACAAAACTCTGCCTTCCCAGAACAACCATCACCCTACAAATGGCTCATCTTGAAAGAACTCTCTCTTCTTTTCTTCCTTTCTTGTCTTCTTCCTCTGGCCCTATGGAGTCATGCACATTCCATAGATAAATAAAACCACAAAGCCATGAGTCAGACTCCTTCAGTAATTAATTAGAAAGACAAACTACCAACTGCTCTGATCCTCACTCCCCTAGGGCCAAGGGCACCTGGACAGGTATTGAATTCTGTCTCTTGGTCTCTTCCATGTACTTTGTTTACAAACACTTGGAGTTGTAAGCAATACCCTAGTCTATATCTCACAAGCAAATGTACCCCCGGGAAAAGCAAATTGCATATCATCAAAGGATTGAAAGCCACAGAGAGATGCCTTCACAGACCAGAGATAAAGGGAAAGATAGATAAGCAGACAGACAGCACCCCTCTTTTACCAACAAGTAAAACTAGGCCTCCAATGCCTCTTTGGTAAGCAAACTGACCTGGCAGGAAAGAGTTGTTGAAAAGAGTTGAAGATCTTATTGGGCCAGAACAAACTATTAGTTATCAATTTCTCTCATGGCCTTGCTTAGGAAGGGATAGATTCAGCTCTGTTTTTAGGGAAGTTCAGGACTCTTAATTTAGCAGTGTGACTGTAGTTATTTCTTCCTCAATGACTTCCAAACAGGTAAATTTCCCCTTGGCTTACAATGTATGCTGTAGACTAAAACTTCATATTTATTTGATGAAAACTTGAAATTGGGCTTGCCCTGAACTGCATTTTTACTATTGTGTATTCACAAACATCAGTAGGAGCCAGAATCTGGGACCCATGGGGGTGAAAAGTATTGGTGAAAATTAGCCTGATCCTTAGACCCCTAGAAATGCCAACATACATCCTAAATAATTTTATTTGCCTGTAGAATGTAATAGGTTTAAAAATGTTTAAGTTTCAGACCAGTGCAATTCTCACATTGTGTCAGAGATGGTCAGGGGTAGACAGAGTCTTTCAATATAGTTTGAGCTGACCTCAAACCTGCAATTCACCTGCTACAGTTCAATAAGTTTATAAGAAATTAGACAAGGCAAATTTGTTAGGCTCATACATTTATTCACAAGTTTCTTTCCAAACTGGTATCTCTATAATACACAGCTTTACCTCAGCACCTACAGCATACTGTTCTAGACACCACTACATGTACCAAAATCTGCAGATGCTTAAGGATCATAGATAAAATGTAAAGTGCTTTAACAGACCTACATATATTCTTCTGTATATTTAAGTTGGTCCTAGAGTATTAGTGTGTGTAATTCTATGTAAATAGTTGTTATATTGCTTATAGAGGAACAGCAAAAAAAAAAGGAGGCTGTACTTTTTTAATACAGGTAATATTTTCTCCCCCCCCTTATCCTTCTCTTCATTTATCTCCTCTTCCTTCTCTACTTTCTCCCTCTTCTTCTTCCTGTTTATCTTGTTCTGAGGATTGACCTTTACATATGCTAGACAACTGCTCTACTACTGAGAAATACCTTAGTCGAAACACAAAATATTCAGTGGGCAGTTGGTTGAGTCTATAAATGAAGGACTTGTGGACATTTTAGAGTATTCACATTTATGTATACTTTTGTTTAAAAGTATATATTATATATAATAAAACTATACATACATTAGCCTAGTTATGTATGTTCATACATGTAATCATATATGTATACCTGTGTTCAATTCATCTACTATGTTGATATTAACTTGGGAAACAACTGAAACCTATCCATTCTCAAGGAGTATCTCATGTAGGAGGCAGTGGGTAGATTTAAGCCACTTAGTGAAAGTTTGTCACTAAGAGGTTGATCTAGTTGAAGTAAGAGATGGAGAAAGAAGGAGGTGGAACTCTAAAGAGAAATAAGTGGTTTTGGTGGTATGGGTGAGATGCTTGAGCTTCACTGGATAGAAGGTTATAAGTATGTTCCTTTTGAATATTCCAGAGTGGAAACCATGAGGATAACTTAGTAAATCCATTGGCTGCTTGATGAGCTGAAGACAATAGAGATGTGTTTGTATTGTGTTCTGTATGGGGCAAGCATAAGCCTAAAGGTTAAACATATTTAAATTCCTTTAACCATAAAATCAAACCCCCAAAATATATCCACTAGTGCTATTCTAATTAGTAGACTGCTAAACTGAGGAACAGAACAGCTAAAAATCTTGTCTAGGATCATACAACCTATACACCTGGAGCTGAAATAGAACCAATCACTGTCCCCAAATCTGTGTGTTGGTTCCAACAACCCTTCTTCTTCTCAGACGAAAATGGCTCTTCATGTGTCCCAGAAATCACAGCACCAATGGGTGATGGGAACAATAGACTGGGAAGCAGATTATATGCTTCAGCTGCTCCCTAGCAGAGTGACTTCCTCCCTGAGATTTGGGTCTACCATCTGCAATAGAGTGGAGGTGAGGTGTGATGGCCTGCTTTCTCAGATCAAGGAGACTGTGCCTTTTGTGCTAGGAGGGATAGCTGGTAAGTAGTCAGACAGCTGTCAGTGGGTAGTGCAATGTTTCACCATGTGATTTTTGGTACCATTGCATAACTGCCACCTTCTAAGAGAACAAGAGGCTCAGAAACATCCATAGACCTTACAGTTCCATTTTTGGCCTCAGTTTCTGTGCAGCTCCATAGAGTTGTTTTCTATTTAACAAGCATGACAAGCACCTGTTTGATGTATCAGGTGATATCATAATTTACTAACAAAGCACCTTTGGTTAATGAGTCAATGAAATTTGGAGATTGCAGCCCAATAATTAATCTAATCTACCATGATACAGATTAAAAGAAACAGTTTTTTTCTTGTACAAATCCTGGCCACATTTGAGATTTGGCTGCTGGTCCAAATGGCAAGAATGGTGCTCTACAGGGTGGCTCTGAGGCTTTGTTCAGAGTGGGAAGGCAGTGGCTCACATCCTTGTACCTCTGTGTTGGAGGGCTGTGAGACAAAACACATCAGCAATGAGCTGTTTTTTATACTGTGTCCTTACGGTAACCCTGTTTGACTGAGAATGAGAAAAAGAAAACATTTGAATTGGGAAGCTCACTCTAACCTCCTATATGCCACAGTAGTCAGTTTGTTGATTTAGGCAAACGTTACTTTGTGCTGGAATATGCAAAGGGGATGGAATGGTATTGTTTAACCAACATGATAGACACCCATGCTGTGTTGGAGCTCACCTTGGAACCTTAAGATTGAGTTGGCTTTTGCATGCCCACATATGTTTTGTGAATCTGGAGTCACACTGCACTTCAGGGACCTGGAGAAATTCCTGACCCTGAGACCACAAAAGCCCCACACACATCTCCATAGTCAGAATCCTTTACTTAAGTCCCAACTTCTTTGGGTACCAGCTGCACAGACTTCTCCAGGTATGGGACAGCTAACACTGGTTTTAACTTTAACAAATGTGATAAAGCATTCAACTGGTGGTCAGGTTTTTATGTTGTTGGTGGGTTTTCTTTGTTAGAATGATTACTAGTGGAAGCATGATACAGAGTTTCAGTGCTGTGCTCTGATCTAGCAAACTGACACTGAGATATGCCTGCACAAAGGCAGAGGCTCTGGAGAAAATGTAGGACTGCAAGATGGACTAAGGGACAGGTCCACGGAACAGGTAGCAAGGCTCTCAACAAGGCTGGAGGAAAGGTGTTCTGGCCACTCTGCCTCCTTGATCTCTCCTCCTTGTTTTATGAGGTTAAAAAAAAAAAAAAAAAAAAAAAAAAAAAAAAAAAAAAAAAACCTTTGGGCTAAAGTCATTGATAATTCACAAGTATAAGTAGTCCTCTTAACTTTTGAGTCAGCCCAGTTTAAGTTTACATCTTGACACTGGCTTGCTACAGATGTGGCCTTAGATGAGGTACTTTGTGCTTTCTTGTCGAAAATTGAAATAATTATATGGAGTACGCTGTATTCAAACGGTTATGATAGTGCCTGGGACACAGTAGTCATGGAGTTGAGGTAACTGTTGCTGTAGATTGATGGTTTATCCTCTGGCCTCTTCTGTGTCTTTGCTGGGATGAGTGCTAGATTATTTAGATCTTTCACCAGTATGTTGAACTTTGATGTTTTGGGACTGAGAAGCAGTTTGATGACCAGAATGACCACTGCTGAAAGGGCTACAGAGGGTGCTGAGCACCAAGGATATTGGGAAAGGATCCACAACCAAGCTTTGCAGCCAACTCTAGTGTCAAAGAGCCAATCTAGAAAAGGATATGGATCTCAAGCCACACTCAGAGAGGTCACAGTACATACTAAATGTGTGCTATGCCATACTCTTTTCTCAAAAGACAGCCACAGACTCTAACTTCAAAGAACTTATATTTTAGGGGCTTCT